ATTCATTCTGAAATAGCTATTCTTCCTCCTCCTTTTTTAGGAGTTGAGTGAATATTTGTTAGACACCATTCCATTATTGTATGGACTGTAAGTACAAGTTGAACCTCTCTAGTCCAGCACTGCTTGTTTTGGCAACATCTGTGGTCCAGCATAATTTTAGTTAGCCTGATGCCATCTTATTGTCAGTGGGGGGTCAAGTTTCCTTCCCCCCACACTGTCTCAGGCTGGGATAACAGCTGGGGGTGGCTGCAGACCAGGAGCAGAGCCTGTGGCTAGGACCATGGCCTGGCAGCAGCAACAGAGAGACTCGGGCTGGGACCCTGGGGCTGGCATTGGAGCCCTCGGGCCATGGTTGACCTCTGGTGGTTTGGCAAATTCTCTGGTTTGGTACTGGTGCCAGACTACAGAGGTTCAATCTGTATAATCAGGGATTTTGTACCATCTTGGTATCATGCTGAAATCTACCTTGATTATTAGTTTCTGTAAATTCATTGGTTACATTTCATGCTGTTTGGATCAAGTCATAATTAAATGTATTCACTCTTTTTGATACAGAGCTGAACTATTTTAGTTCCTGTGATTCAAAACTTGCTTCTTGCTTTTTAAAAAACTTCCTATTGGGAAATTTACCTGCATCTGAGTCTTAAGATCAATTGATTGCCGAATTATCCTCTGCTTCTCATTTTGTTTTCAGATCCTCTAGGCTTAAGTTTATGTAAGAAATGCAAATTGGGGCATGGGAGGATGAAACAGGATCTCTTGAATTAGTTAAGCTCTTTGGGGGCAGAGACAGTCACTTTAGTGTTAGTACAATGTCGAGGGCCAAACCTTAGCTGTATTCTTCAGATCCTACCACAATATAAATGTTGTAATCATATATTGTTGGTTGACTTCTCCTTTTAGCTATGGATGTGAATGAGTAGTTGACTAGACAATTAACGAATAAACTAGGTTTATCAGTTGATCTAGGTGACTCCTCACATTCTCTCCCCTTGCTGCTTCTGTATCAGAGGCCAGGGTGGGGGAGAAGCAGGATCCAGTACTGGCAGAAACCAGCTTGCAAACTGGCTCCTCCCAGTACTGCCTGCCACCCCCACACTGCTACCTCTATCAGAGGCAGCAGCACAAGGGTTGGGGAGGTTGCCGTGAAGTAGCCTCTGCCCGTGGTGAGCCTGGGCTCCCCGCAGACAGAGGTTTACAATACTGCCTCTGATACGGAGATTGCAGTGTGGGGGCCGCAGGATTCTCCCTGGGAGTGGGGCCGGAGCTCATGGCTTCCGGCCTTCCCCCTGGGGACTATAGAATAGTCAACTAACTACTAAGAATTCATGCAGTTAGTCGACTATTATATTACCCGATAGCTAACATCCCTACTTTCAACCTTAGGTGTGAGGTCTTTTCAGGTCAGAATTGAGGTACATTGACTGGGAAGCATGGGGAAACGTGTCTTTGTTCTTTGAACAAAATTGAAGACTTCAGCTCCTTAGGACTACTGCCCAGAACCTCTCCTGAATACTTAAACTCAAACAATAGCAAGTGCATAATTTCACACCGCTTCTTGCTGTTATGTAAAGTATTTTTACACATTAGTTTTAATAATTTAGTTTTGGTCTTCAATGCTTAAACTTGCTCTTGAAATTAACAATATAACATTTTCTTGCCATCTTTTTAAAATGCCTCAATCTGTTGGCACTGCTGATCCATGGCCAGCAATGCCTTTTGATATCATATTCTTGAAATATGACTCAACTCCACAGCCACTTCCCTGGTGTCCTCTTCAAACCAATTTATCACCGCAGCCTCATTTTAGAGTATCTTAACTTGTGATAATTGTGTAGAAGATGCTCCAGTATTTTTAACAGTTAAAAAGTACTTTTGTTTGATTTCATTAATTTATTAGTGCTGTGTATATTATTGAATGCTTAATTCCAAACTAAAGCATTTTCAAGTAAATATTCTTCATGCTTTAAGCAGTATGTTCACATCCTTAAATAAGTTCAGAAAACTTGCTGTCTAACTAAATGGGCTTGATTTAAAAAATAAAAGAGGAGGGTGAGTTAAGGGCCTCAAAATTTGACCATATGTCCACATACTTTTGGATGACAATGTATTAGTACCAGGGTTTAAAAAACAAAAACAAAAAACTGTTGTTCATTGTGAAAGATTCTAGACTCCTTTCCCAGCTCCAAGCAACCCCTTTTCACTTTATCTTTCTGTCTCTCTCAAAAAGTTTTTCCTGCCATGTGATACAATGACATGTTCTCATGCTCTCTGGTCAAGAAAGCCGCCAGAGGTGGGGGTGGGCGTGGGGGTTGGTGAGTGTAGCAAGCATGGGTTGCAGCCTGCTAGTACCATGAAATAACATGTTGTTTGTGTACTTCATCTAATTTTCTACAGCAAGTATCTTTACAATGTAACTTGCATCTCTTGCTTATAATACTACCTTTATATTTGCTTTCACTCTTCTCGTAATAGACTATAATGTTTCTTTATAACCTTCTGTGTCTTCCTATGTTGTGCTTTCTGGCTTTTCCCCCTTATTTCCTTCATTATTTTGTCCTTCTACCAAAATGTTTCTAATTTACCCCGTCAGTGTTCCCTTTATTTCCATGCTCCTCTACTCACAGAAATGTAGGCCATGCATCTAATAGCCAGAAGACTAAGGACCAGTATGAAAAAATGATGGCCCTGTTCAGGGTCAATGCCCAGGTGAGAAGCAAAGATTTTTTTTGAACAACTTGCTGTCAAAGGTGAGAGTACTGGAATTCCTAGAGTACTCTTCCTGGATTTTGCTTAAGGAGCTTCAGCCTCTGTCTGATAAATTGTTGGGAAAAAGAAGAATTTTTCTCTGTCCTTACTGACTTTCCTCACACTAGAACCTCCTGGTTTTTGTAATGACATGTGAGAATCTGTTACTTAGCCTCTCCTCTAGCTTCCTGACAAATGTAATGTATGTCTCGTTTCCTTGTCACCCCTCATCTGTCATATCACTCTTGTTTTGTAGTTGATTTGCAAGATATTTTGGGCAAGAACTGTACTTGTTATGTTTTTCTACAGTGCCTAGCACAATCCTGGTCCCTCATTGAGGCTCCTTGGCACTAGCACAGTTGAAATACAGTAAAACTTGTGTTATCCGGCAAGCTCGGGGATTAGGGCGTTTTGGTTATCTAAAAATTCCAGTTATCTGAGGGTCCCATCCTAGGAAAAACCAATGGACAATAATAGTAAAACTCAAGTTTTTAATATTGGTAGTTTTGTAGTGAGAGGCAGTTGGTCTCACATTCCTGTTTTGAGTTCAAGATGAGGAGTACTTCTTAACATTTTTTTTTTTTTTTTTTTTTTTTAACTTAAGCCAATCTTGGGAAACGAAGCAAGGCCTATGTGTCTGAAGATGTGACAGTATTGTGGCTGGGGGCAGTGCCGATTAACAAAGTTTTCTGGTTAACAGTGTGCCGGATAACAAAGGTTTCACTGTAATAAACAAGAGCCATAGTCTACCCTTCCACAATCTTTTAATTTATTTAAGACGCTTCCCTGTTGACTAGCTCTGTTTCTGAGAGCTTTCCCAATCATTGGTAGAATGAAATTGGTAAGAATTCTGAAAAGTGCTTAGGAAAGTAGTAAGAGTCTGGCTAGTTTTCATTTTGTTATAGCGTGGCAAAGTGCTGAGATGTCCCAGGCACTGGAGCTCTGTCTGTCCGTGAACTGGGAAGTCAGTTTTCTGTGAGTGAATTTTGGATGTTTGGAAGAAATTTTGAATAATAAAGCTTAATGTTTTAAATTAAATTTAGATTCTGCAGAAGCCAATGAGATTTGTATGCAAAAGATACTTACTTGTCATAGGTATATAGATGAACGGACTTTTAAATCCCTGTGTACTCCTGACCAACAGTTTTTTTTTTTTAAATCATTTGTGTTGGATTGTGGTATAGACTTATTCATATGATGCATATTTAGGCAGACATTTCCCACATTTTGCAGAGAGCATAGTTGGGTACAAAATAGGGATGTTAGTTATTGGATAATCTAAGAATGAGGGTCAGCTAACCACATGAATACTTAGTGATTAGTCAACTATTCTATAATCCTTGGGGGGCAGGGCCAGCAGCCAGTGCAGTCCAGCCCCACACCTGGGAAGCTCTCTGCCACCCTGTGCATGGGGTGCAGGTGGGAGGCAGTTTGTGAGGGGAGCCAGTTTAAAAACCAGGAGAGGGGCAGGAGGCACTGTGAAGACAATGCTGAGGGGAACCGGCTTTTAATACAGCTCCCCCCAGCACCAGCTCCTGCTCCCCCCCCCCCCCCCCCTCTCAGCAAGGGGAGGGGAATGTGAGTTGTTGACTAACTATTCGCTTACATCCCTAGTGCAAAAATATTCTTATAATTCTTGTTAACTTGGCAATTGAGTTAATATTGCATAATGAACTAGGATGTACCAGTTTAACATGTTGTTGGTGACTTAGAGGGGAGTGGTTTTCACAGCACATCTTTTTGACTAATTCATGACCTCTGTTTGTGACTGTGTTCCTGGCTGGGGCAGAGATTTTATGAGGTCTGCTTTAAAAGCATAAGTGCGAACGTATTGTCTTAGTGCTTTGAGATAACACAGTCCCCAAATGCCATAGGCTATCTCTCAAAAATATACACAAAATTACATAACTTCCTTGCATATGGTGTTAGTTCTTATTTTCTGCAGTGCTGCTTTAAAGAAACAAGACTTATCCAGACTTACACACAATTACAAGAAACTGTTAGTTTTTTTTTTTTTTTTTAAAGAGCTAAAATCAATAGAATAGTTAAAATATTCAGAACACAGCTTGGGGCATCTGGGGACTATGCAAAACATCCTGTCGCTCACCACATTGTTCAGGAGCTTCTGGCATCCTTTAGCAACTTTTTTTTTCAACAGTCATTCTGTGCTGTGAGCTCTGGAATCTGCAGCAAAAAAGAATGGATCCCACATTTGTCTCAAATGTTCTGTTGCTGTGGTGAGGACTTTGCACATGGCAGCAGAGATCATCTTGAAAGTACTGACAGAGGAAGAAGACTTAGAGGCGCCTCTGTGTGTGTTGTATGGAAAGAGGTATCCTGTCATTGCATTTGGAAGGCACAAAGAACAGCTATATGGGGTAGATGGCCGCTTTTGGATTAGGCAAACGAGCATTGATTGCTGGGATCGTATCATCATGCAGGTATGGGATGAAGACCAGTGGCTCCTGAACTTTAGGATACTTCTCGATGGTGATGCAGGTGCTTAAGGATAAAGTGTGGGCGTTTCTGACATCAATACAGGGTGATCTGGAAAGATCCATGATGCACACATCTTCAGGAACACTGGCCTGTACAGAAAGCTGCAGGCAAGGATTTTCTTTCCAGACCACAAGAGTAGTGGGAGATGTGGAAATGTTCATTGTGACCCAGCTTATGCCTTGCAGCCCTGGCTCAGGAAACGGCACATGGGGCACCTGTAGTAAGTAGTGTTTTAACAGGCTGAGCACGTGCTTGCATGGTGGTTGAATGCACCTTTGGGAAGTTGAATGAGATGGAGGTGTCTCTGTGGTAGGCTAGAGACAGTGTCCCCATGGTTATTGCAGCTTGTTGCATTTTGCATAATTTGTGCCAGTTTAACGGGGAATTGTTTGCTCAGGGTGGAGTACTGAGGCACGGTGCATGGCTGCAGAGTTTGAGCAGCCAGACACTAAAAAACTGTTAAAGGAGCTCAAAGTGCTGCGTTAACATCAGAGAGGCTTTGAGGGTGCACTTTGAAAATGAGGGGCACTGAAATAAATATGGCCAGGAATGTGCCTTTAAAGCCTGAAAGTGTCCCGCTCATACCCCATTCCACACAAGGGTCAAGAAATGTTCAGGTATCTGTCCCAGTTCCTATGGGTCACTCGTGGTTGGGACTGAACAAACTCCTCTCCCCATACACTGATCAGCTCTCACAACTCCGCAGCTATTCAAGTGGGAGAGCATTTGGTGTGATGGTCGGTTATGGGCACCTGGGAAGATGCCATGAAACTACTATATGCTGAGCCAGTCCACAGGGAAGAGGGGGAGTCCAGGTGCTCAGGCTGCGTAGGCTGCCACAGTTTGTAAAGTCAGCCCTGTGTGGTGTATCTCATGCATTGCATCAAATTCCTCAACAGCCATGTGGATGAAACCAGTCAGTGTCTATCCTTTTTGTGTGAACTCGCACAGAAAAGCTAGCCAGCGGGAAACAGAATTCAGGTTTCGTGGAGATTCCAAAGTGGTAGGATGGATTTCTGGTCATGTGGCTGCAGCACAGTGGAATTGAAACTGCTGACCAGAGTAGGGATGTAATGGACCAGTCAACTATCCGATAAGCAAATGCTTATCAGATAGTTGACAGGATAATCGAATAGTCACTCCCCCCTTGTTGCCTCTATGCAGATTTAAGACTTACCAACTGTTGCTGATGGCCTTTTGTTTGACCCTGAGACTTTTTTTGTTAAATCTGTAAAGGAGGTTTAATATATATCAGTTCAGTATAATCAAAATATTGCTCTAACCCAGTGGTCCCTAAACGTATTACCTTGTCCCCCTTTTACCTGTGTCTGGTGTCCCCCGCCAAAGCAGGAGTGGGGCTGAGGCTTTGGGAGATGGAAACATGGACTGAGTAAGGGCAAGCGTAAGGCAGGCAGCCAGGGCCCCCGGCATGGGTCTGGCGTGGAGCTGGGTTGAGCTCCCTCTCCACCCCTCTTATGGGGGCTGTCTCAGATTCTAGTTGTGCTCCTCTGAATATTCCTCTGTGCTGCCCTTGGGGGGTGGTGCATCTCAGAGTTTGGGAACATCTTCTCTATCCAGAACATGGTACATAGTACTCCACTCTTCGATCTAAAGACCATTAGTTGTCTAATTCTAGTAAAACTGGTTTTAGTATTACTGAATGTCTGGAAAAGAAAATATAAAATATGTCAGACTGTCTAAAGTTACTCACAAGCATGAGTACTAGTCTCAGGACAGACTGAAAGGAGTACTCGAACCCCAGACTGATAGTTCTATATAGGTTGAACTTGAGACCCTGGACTGGTGGCTGTAAACAAAATGGGGCCACACCCATGATAAGTGGACATCTGGCCAATTAAAATCATGGTGGACAGTGGATATTGCTGGACCAGAGAGTGCCTGACTAAAGAGGTACAACCTGTACTTCTATTTCGCCAATCAAATGCATCAAATGTAATATACTCAACACTATAGCATCCTTAACATTGAGTCACATTTGGGTTTGCTATTCAAATACACTAGCTTTTTTTATATAGATAGTTCCTCACCCCCAAAACTACAATAATATTCAGGTTACTTACAATAAACCTGGGATAAGTGACAGTATCTTAGATGCTATATCAAAGACAATGCTTAGAGCCAGTCCTATCATAAATTAACTAAAGAGTTATTAATAAAGAGAAAAAGTTTATTTACAAGGTTAAAGCAGGTAAAAATATACACACAAATGAATTAGTCTTAGTTTTCAAAAGGACAGTAAAAGCTGTGGTAATGTAAGCCAAGTATGTCTTTTAGGGCTAACCCAGGCCAAACAGGTGGGGATCCCTTGTTAGTGCTTAACCATCTTCTTCCCTCAGTATTCAAACACCATAGAAATACGGTTCCTTCTTGTCAGGGATTTTTATTCCCTCACCCCAGAGTTTAAGATGAGACTAGTTCACCTGCAGTCTCCTCTTCATGCGTATGTGGGGGAGCAATAACCAAAGTCTTTGTTCTTTAATGTTTCACAATATATTGGTTTCAATGGGCCCTCTTCATGGGCAGAACCTAATACTTTCTGTTACACTGATTTGTCGAGCTCTGGTAATCCACTATATCTACTCTCCCGTGGCGAGTAGATTTTAGCCAGTCGTGGTTTGTCAAGCCCTGTGGATTACAATGCAAACATTTAATGTAATCTCATAAAATGGAGTATGGAAGTTATATGGTAAGATGAATACATCCAGACTCCTAGATTTCATAAAATCTAGCACATTGTTATAAACTTAACATCTGTTTTAACAGTACTAATACACAGGTGAACCAGACTGGTTTCTAGCTATACATTTGTTAGTGTTCAAGGAGGCTTTAGAGGTTCTAGCATGACCTGATACTTTGTTTGCCAGCATCTCACTCTTTAAAATTTTATCACAATTATTCTGTGTGTAGTAGTTGTGCATAGTCTACATCTGTTGTTCTTGATAAGATCTGAGACTTTTCTGACTTGTCTTGGTAGATAAAAGTCAATGATTGTTTTCTAAACAATGGATTTTTTAACATTTAAAACTGGATCTTTTGATTTTTTTAAATCGATAAAATACTAAATTTCTAATTTAAAATAAGCTACAATTAACCTTATCACAAACATGCTACATATTCTCTTAGTTTCATAAAATGAATTAATAGCTCAGACTGTCCAGCCTAATTACCAGCTCTTGCTTCTTGAAAGTTCTGGGCTTTGAATTTCTGTTTCTCAGCAGAGTAAAGTCACACGCACACTGGTTGGGATTGTTTTGTTCTGTGTTTATGTGGTGGTGGACTTGGGCCAAGCATGGCAGAGGAGTTAGTTAAGACATTGTCTTAAGACACAGAGACAATATATAGGAAAGGATGGAGGCAGTGCAAGAAAGAACAGTGGGATGGACTAAGGATGCTAAAATGCGATTATCTGGCTAATTGTATAGTTAATGCAATTTGTATTATACTGTACGATTAGTCAATAAGCGCTGCTTTGAAGAGCCACAGTGGGGGTTAGCTCCAGGAGCCAACTCAAGCCAGGACTACTTGGTCATGGGTAGTGCTGAGTCTAGCAGCCCCTGTTTGCTGCAGACAGACTGCTCCAGCACCATCCCCCTGTTTGAGGCAGCCAGGGGTTGCTTGGCAGCAACAGCCCCAGTCCACAGGGGGGCCCATCTTCCCACTGAGACTCCTGCAGAAAGGGGCTGCTTCACAGAAGCATCATCTAGTCCCCTCCTGCTTCCTTCTATTGGTTTACAAGGGCAGCACATGAACTCTGTATAATCTACTATTAAAGACACATTTCGCCTCCGCTGCTGGACGGGGGAGGGGGATAAACCTGGCAAGCCGCTCCTGGGAGCTTCCCACCCTGCTGGGGGAGCGGCAGTGCATGGACCCACTCACACCAGTGCGCTGTGTGCTCAGCCCTTTCTCTCTCCGCCCCTTCCCACCCCGCTGGGGGAGCAGTAGTGCACGGACCTGCTTACACAGCCATGCTCCGCATGGCAGGTTGGGGGGGGGGCTTCCACCCCCGTGCTGCTGCTATTGGGAGCCAAAGCTGGTGTGGGGACTTCAGTAAAATTAGCACCGCATGGCTCAGCTCCAGGCCCGGCAAGTGGTCCTGCCTCGGAAGCAGCTGGGGCCTGGGCTGTGGGGACTTCTGGGGCCTGACCACAGACTCCAGCCCCGCAAACTGGAAGGCAGAAGGTGAGGGGGGGAAGGGAGATGAGAGAGTAAGGGGCTTATGCTGAGGGGAGGGGGTAGGACAGGAGAAGAAAGGGGAAGGTACCAAGGTACCCAGTCTCTCTGCCTCCCCCTGAGTTAATGCAACACACATTGGGTTAATGCAACTGCAGGATAGTTTCATGAGGGAGGTTTGGTGGGGGTCAAACTCATCCCTATTGGTAGGAGGATGGTGGGAAAAGTTCTTGGGGGGGGGGGGGTCACATGACACCTTTTATTTCTGGTCATGTGTCCATCTTGACCCCCAGAATGTTACCTCCAGTGCTGGGGCTAATGGGGGTCAGGGGGCATGGTTAATGGGGGTCAGGGGTGTGGTTAACATGAGGCAGGGGGTGTGGCTAATGTGTCTCTAATTTTGGTTCAGAAAATATGGTCACCATACCCATAGGGCTTGGGGGAACTGGCTTAAAGCTGGTTCTCCCAGCACCGGTTCCTGTTCCCCCTCCTCCCCCCCGCCACCTCTCTCTGATAGAGGCGGCATGGGGGGCGGGGAGTGACTAGTCAAGTCACTACTCAACTATCTGATTAATCATTTGCTTATCTGATCAACTAATTGCTTACATCCCTAGAATGGACTGAAAAGAAAAAGGGAAGACAGTATTCAGCACGCACACATCTTCCTCTATTCCCCCACACTTTTGCCACAGAAAAATGGTCATGGCTTCTGAGCATGAGACACCCTATCTGGGAATATTTTAAATAAATTCCTTCCCTTGGAAAAAGAAAATGTCAAGTGTAAGCAGTGCAAGAAGATGATTTGGAGCCTAGATACAGGAATGGAACATCGCAAGAAAGCTAGTTGTAGAAGTTTTAAAGACACTGTACATTTAGTGTTCTGAGGACTTGTCTGTTAGAGTTGTTTAAATTTGAAAATGAAAAAAGTTTTAGGACAGCTGGCAACCTGGGAGAGAGCTGCAGTTATAAATGTGAACTATTTATGTAACATTTAAGATTTAGTTTAATAAAATAAGTGCTGTTGTGTTTTGAGTATGTGTTTTAGTTCTTACTATTTCTACTGTACTGCTGCATCTGTAGCTTGACATGGTAATGAGTATAATGGATTATTTCCTAAATTAATAAAATGGAGTTATCTAAAAAAAGTACACAAAGTGTAAAATGCTGCACTAAGTTGTAAGTTAACATGTTTTAGTGATCAGATTAGCATATTAAGTAATATGGGAAGAAATATCAATAGGAAATTGATTTAAATCTTTTTTTTGGTGATTTAAACCAATGATTTAAATCAATCCACCCAGATTCTCGTACCGTGAATCTAATCATTTCCTTTTTTTCTCCCATTGCAGGAAACACTCCATTACATCTTGCTGTGATGTTGGGACATAAAGGTTGGTATCTTATATTCTTGGATTTCTCTCAAGATTTTAGGAAGGAGAAATGGTTGGAAAAGTTGACTAAAAATAGACTTTAATTGAATGTGTTCAATTACAAGATCTTCAGAGGGGGTACCTGAGTTAATATGTAACAGTAAAAAATTAAACAGCAAATAGCCTAGTAGCACCTTAAAGACTAACAAAACATGTAGATGGTATCATGAGCTTTCGTGGGCAGAACCCATCTACATGTTTTGTTTAAGGTGCTGCTAGACTATTTAGGTTTTTTTTTTTTACTTCTTTTTTTTTTCAATTACAAGGTGAGGAGTCTTTCTGGAAAAAGAGGGTATGTGAGATTAGAAAATAAACTTTAGAGAGTGGGGATAAAGATGCCAAAACCAGGGTGGCAGGGGGAATCTGAGATATGAATGGAAGTATATGAGAGGTCTTTGGAGCCAGAAAAATGACCTATAATAGATGGGCATTCACTAGGCAGTCTTCTGAGAGTCTAAGAGGAGACTAAATAGAACAGATTTTCTCCACTTACAGAGCTATTAGGAAACAGTGACACCTAGAGAGTCATCGAGTTAGAGGGAAAAGAGGTGTGACCAGAGTTGCTTTTTTATCCTCACCCTGGAAGTAGTCCTCCAGGAAGGTGCTATTATTTCTTCTCCTGTAGCTAAATCTCTCCACGGGAACAGGATGAGAAGGGGATATTGAAACAGGTGGGTGCCTCACATGAGTTGACTAAGCAGCAGAAGCCAGAGTGTTCTTCCAGTCTAGCTACCTGTGTACCAGAAAGCAGGAAAGAGGAAAAACTCACATTTAAAACAAACAAAAAGCTAGAGGAGGGAAGAACCATCTGAAATTAGTGCTTTTAATCATTGGTAGGTAGGTTGGGTAAAATTAAACTTTTAGTTCTGTGGTGTCCAACACACAAGCCACTAGCCACATGTG